TTGTGAATGAACTTGGAGGTGGTCTGCTAAGGCTGCTACAGACAACTGAGTGAGCTTGGAACCAACTCTCTCCAAATAGAGCCTTGGCCAAACCCTTGACTGCAGCCTTTTGAGAGATCCAGAGCCAGAGGACCAGTTAAGCTGCATCCAGATTCCTGATCCACAAAAACCATGAAGTAAATATTTGCTTTAAGTCATTAAATTTTTGGGTGATTTGTTATAAAGAGACAACTTTTATAGCAATAGAAACTGATTTTATTTTTTAAGATTTTATTTATTTGAGAGACAGTGTACACATGCACAGGCAAAGGAGAGGCAGAGGGAGGAGCCTACTCTCTACTGAGCAGGGAGCCTGACTCAGGACGGGATCCCAGAATCCATGAGCTCATGACCTGAGCCAGAGGCAGATGCCTAACCAATTGAGCCATCCAGGTGCCCCTAGGAACTGATTTTAGCTGACCAGAATGAAGGCTACATTTCTCAGCCTCCCTTTCTGTTAGACCTAGCCATATAACTGAGTTGTGTAGTCACTGAGATTGGTAACAAAAGAATGCATGGAATTTTCAGACCAAGCCTTTAAAAAAGTGGCTATGCATGTTCAATCTCCTCTTTCCCATTTCTCTAGATAAGACACAGAAAATTTTTCCACTACAAGGTGGAAAAATTTTTCCACTGCAAGGTGGATCCCATGCAGAGGAGGGCCACCCAATGACCAGGATCATTCATGTGAACTCTTTTTTGAGTGAAAAATAAATTTCTAAAAAATAAAAAATAAAAAAAAATAAATTTCTATTGTGTTGGGATCATTATAAATTGAGGGTTTGTTGTTTGTTACCACAGACAAGTATGCTAATTAACACTTTTATGTGAAAGAAAGAAAAACTTTTCTCTGGAGTAAGCCACTATTATTTTGGGTGTCTGTCAGATAAAGCCTAATCTACATCCTCATCAATGCATATACCCTAAGAATTTTATTTTTACCTAGGTATTTATTCCTCAGTCACTCCCCAAGACCTTTCTTTTGAGTACAGTCCCGCTGGTTGAAGTTCTGGGTAGGCTTAATTGCATAAACTATGTGTCTAGCGCTTTGCATTTGATTCTCAGTTTTAATTTGTTCCCAGTAAAGAGAAGTTAAGGACTCTTGCTAATCAAGTTGAATGTAGAATCCTACCAGATTTGAAGCTTTAAAAAGTTTTTCTGGGGATGCCTGGGTGGCTCAGCAGTTGGGTGTCTGCCTTCGGTTAGGGCGTGATCCATGGAGTTCCAGTTTTGAGTCCCCTGTGGGGCTCCCTGCAAGGGGCCTGCTTCTCCCTCTGCCTATATCTCCACCTTCTCTGTTTCTTTCATGAATAAGTAAATAAAATCTTAAAAAAAAATCTTTCTAGTCTCTCATAACCATCTGGCCTACACCCAGTTTCATAGCTATTTTTATTGGCACTCACCTTTATCCTGTCTTCCCAAAGCATTTTTGGTCTTCCTAAAAACAGTAATTCCTGGGGCACATGGGTGGGACAGTCTCTGACTGTCCTGTTAAAGCCTCTGACTCTTGGTTTTGGCTCTGGTCATGATCTTTGGACTCATGAGATCAAGCTTCCTGTCGGGCTCCATACTCAGCATGAGATTGTTTCAGATTCTCTCTCCCTCTAGCTCTACCCTCCTGCTTGTGCTCTCTCACTTACTCTACAATAAATAAATATCTGGAAAAAAAATAATTCTTTTTCTTTGCAGACTCAAATTTTATCAATTTGTGTAATTATATAATTATGAGGCCTATGATGGAAATAGATTGGTAGCAAATACAACTGACCCTTGCTAAGCATTCCACTCAATTGGTGGAAGCAGATACACAGGTGTGAACCAAAGTGAAAGCTACTAGCTGTGAGTCTTTAGTATTTTCTAGGGATCAGCTAGCATGTTTCAGAAAGGGTATTGAGAACATTAGTTAAGTGGACAGTGGTTAGGAAGAGCTTCTACTGTATGCAATGTGTACTTTGGGGGGGACAGACAACAGATTTCATCTCATTTTCAGAGGGATCTCTGCTCCCTAGAATATTAAGTACCACACTAGAAGTTAAAACCTAATCCATGGCACCAGGTTGAGGAATGAATCTTCTTTTCCTCTGGTTTTGGGTACTTGTGCACCTACCTTTTTCTTGAATACTCCTTTCTCTCTAAAAACTAAATTCATACAAACAGATGTTTGTGAGCCAGTGGCCCTACCAGCTCATCAAAAACGTTCAGACTCTAAATCCTAGTTTCGAATCTTGTAAGTAAATGAGGCCCCCTAACTCCACTCTGGTCAAACGTTCCCCCACACAAAGAAAGGGACTCTGACCATGCTGGGTAAACAACAGCCCTCATCAATTTTGATCCCTTCACCCTTTTGTTTTCTTCACAACATTTATCACTATCTGGTGGTGGTGTATTATCTAGCACATATTCAGTGATAAAATTCCAGCTACTCAGGATATTTATTTCAAGTTTGTTTATAATTTCAAGGTCAGATTTCCCAATCTTTCACAGTAGGTCATTTTTTAAAATGTGAAACTACTTAATTCACGTAAAAGGAAAAAATATATTCATAGACTAAACGAGTCATATAGGCGAGGCTACAGCAGCCACAAATGTGGAACTTTTGTATTAAATACCTTTTAAATCTGTGAGAATAAGGGGCTTCTGGGTGGCTCAGTGGTTGGGCCTCTGCTTTCGGCTCCTGGGTTCCTGGGATCAAGTCTCACATCAGGCTCCCCACAAGGAGCCTGCTACTCCCTCTGCCTATGTCTCTGCCTCATGAATAAACATAAAATCTTTAAAATATACATATATTTGTATATACTATATATATGTATATATAAATCTGTGAGACTATAAGGCAGTCTAACCATAATGGAGTTGAGAGGCCAGCAGGGAGCGCTCTCACACCTGCCGCTCCTAGTCAACTACAGACCCAACAGGAAGAGCCTAACTTTGCAAGTCCATTTACTTTTGCTATTATTTTAGGACCCCGGTAGGAGGAAGGTTTTCCTCTGCCTTGGCAACAGCCCAGCCAATAAAATGTCGTCACAACCCAGCCCCTGAAAAGCCATTCTACTTCCAACTCTGTTTATTCCAATGGGCTTTTTATTTGCGACAGCCTTCCCAACCTCCCCCTTTCCCCTATAAACTAACATTCCTCTCCTGTTCTGGGGATTTGCCTATGATTTCGCCATACCCTGCTTATCCCAAATTGCAATTCTCTTGCTATTCTCAAACCCATGTTTGCTGGCAAAATACCTGGCCGTCTTATTTTGAAGGTCAAGCACATTTTTACATTCCTCAGAAATGAAACATAAAAATCTTAATCCCCCAAATTAAAGGATTAAATGAGAACAACGACAAAGGAAACAAAGAAGAAAACGTGATTTGGAAAGTAGGAGGCACTTCCACGCGTCATTGTGCTGTACACCTGAAACGAATATACTATTATCACGTCGTCGTGCTGTACATCTGAAACTAATATACTGTCACAGGCCAATTAAAAAATAGGATGCAGGGCAGCCCCAGTGGCTCAGTGGTTTGGCGCTTGCCTTTGGTCCAGCGTGTGATCCCCTGGAGACCCGGGATCGAGTCCCGCGTCGGGCTCCCTGCGTGGAGCCTGCTTCTCCCTCTGCCTGTGTCTCTGCCTCTTTTTCTCTGGATCTCTCATAAATAAATAAATAGATAAATAAATAGGATGGAAGCCACTGATATCTAAAACATTCATATAAAAGGTGTTTATGATTGGAGTCTAATAATTTCTCCCCTCCTAGGACAGCACTTCTGTCGGTCCTACAAGGAAACAAATGCATCTTTCCCAAACTGAGTCATCTCTCACTTTCCCAGCATTTTTTTTTTCCCTTCTACTTATCACTCTGGGAGGAGCCAAGCGGAAGGAGGACCAGATTCTCTTCTGATTGGTCAAATCCACTAGAGCGGTGGTTCTCCGACTTTAACAAACTTTATGGACGCATTTCGGGTTTGTTTGTTAAAACACAGATTCCTGGGGGCCCTCGGGGAGCTTCTGATCCAGGAGGCCTGACCGGTTCCCAGGAGTGTTTCCAAGCAGCTCCCAGATGATGCTGACGCGGCTGGCTGGCCTCTCGAGAAGCAGCACAGTCCTGGGGCTCCCAGGAATCCCACTGACAAGTGTGATCAACGCAATTCACGTTTAGAAAAAGCAAAGAACCACAAAACAAAAGGAAAAAAAATTAATAAACGAACCACCCACTCTCGGGCAAAAGCAGACCTCCAGGGGGCCACACGCAGCCCCATTCAGTGCGCAGACGCGTGCTTCACCTGTTCCGTCTACAGGCGCCTGTCACGGACACACCCACCTAAACTAAACAAACCCTGAAGCCCCGCCCCCCGCCGCTCGGCTCCCGCGCCTCCCCGGGCGGGCGCAGGGGGCGTGGCTGGGCGCGCGGCGCCCACGTGACCGCCGAGAGCCGCGCGCAGCCAAGTCGCGCGATCTGCCGTCATATCAGCTTATGCCGCCGGCCGCTGATTGGCTGGCGGCGCCGCCGCTGGGAGCGCGTGCCCGGCCACGCCCCCCCAGCCCTGCCCGCCCGCCGCCCGCTGCCCGCCGCCCGCCGCCCGCCGCCCAGTGGCCCCGCAGCCTGCGACCCCGCGGACGCCGAGCGGGCCGCGCGCTCCGGAGGTAGGGCTGACGCGAGGGCGGCGGCGGGGAAGGAGGGTGGATGGAGGAAGCCCTGCGGCGGTCCGCAGGCTCCACGTCCGGGCGGCCTCGGGGACCCGCTGCGGGGCGGGGCGGGGCGGGGCGGGGCGGGGGCGCCGGGGACACCGGCCGGCGCGCACCGCCGCGGTGCTGGGGCGGGGCGGGGGCGGGGGAGGAAACGGAAAGTCTCGGGGTGGCTGCCGCGGGTCGCTCCTGCAGGGAAGTCTGTCCGGTGAACACTGAGGCTTTACCTTGAGACGGAGCTCCCTCTGTGTTGGGGGGATTTTTTTTTTTAAGGGGCAAAGAAATTAGGTGGTGACCTCCTGACCGTTACGGTGCAAACCCCACTTACTGCGACGTAATCAGGACGGACGGACAGCACTCCACGCGGGTCGAGAAGCCTTAAAAGGGAAGGGGAATCATCCATTAGGTTAGCATCCTAGGGACGCCTGGGAGGCTCAGGGCTCAGGTCGTGACCTCGGGGGCCTGGGATCCAGTCCTGCATGGGGCTCCCTGCCTGGAGCCTGCTTCTCCCTCTGCCTGTGTCTCGGCCTCTCTCCTCTCTCCGTGCGTGCGTCTCATGAATACATCAAATCTTTTTTTTTTTTTTTTAAAGTTAGCATCCGAAAAGGAAAACATCATGCCTACTGGCATCCATATGTTACAGCAGAGTGAATTTGAAGGTGGTATCAATAAGTAAAGTTCCAAACGTCCGAATGAAAAGTTTCCAACCTGTCAAGCTTGTGTTAGCTAGATTATTTCTAAGCTAAACCTTCCAGCAGGTTATCTGACTTTACAGCACCACAGTGGTGTGTGCTTAGGGTTCTGATGATAAGCATCTAAAAAAAAATAATAAGTGCATGATCCTTGATCACTTAGAGGATGCTTTTCCACTCATTATGTAATGCAGTTAGTATGAGATATTCAGAATTCCCCATCTGTATGTATACAAGTTGAGAGATGATTAACAATGTAGAAGCTGAGAAACAAGATTCTGGAATATACATCCTAATTGTTACTCAGTACTTAACAAATTATTTAAATATTCTTGCCCTCAGTTTCTCCGTCTATAAATGGAAGTTATGGAAGTACCTACCTACCTGGTAGGGTTGTAAGAATTAAGCAAGGTGGGGCACCTGGGTGGCTCAGTGGTTGAGCGTCTGCCTTCAGCTCAGGTTGTGATCTCAGGGTTCTGGGATCAGCCCCACGTCAGGCTCCCCAAAGGGAGCCTGCTTCTCTGCCTATGTCTCTGCCTCTCTGTGTCTCTCATGAATAAATAAATAATCTTTTAAGAAAAAGAACTAAGCAAGGTGATACATTAAAAAAATGCTTTTAAGTAATACCTGGTTCTCAACAAATGTGAACTATTATTATCTATAATTTTAAAGTAAAGCCAGAGTAATTGTAGACTCATTCTAGCCTAATTGTGTTTTATTAGTAACTGTGTTTTTTGAAAAAGTTTTGTTTCTGTAGAAGTAAAACAATACAAAGCTTCTGTTTCAGTCAGGGTTATTTAACTTAGGGTCTGTGGGGCCCCGGACTTAAGGGAGTATACATGCCTTAAAATTTTATGCAAAATTCTGTGAGTTTGCCATCACTGAGAATTTACAAAATTAAGGAGCTGAAGAGTTGAGATAGTGATGAAGAGGCAGTCGAACTTCGTTCAAGTCTTGGTAGAAGAGCTTGGGACTTTGTAACCAGACTGCGTGGGTTTGAGCTCCAGCCCCAGCGTTTGTTTACTTGATGATCCCAAGCAGATTACTTGAAATTTTTTTTTAAAGATTTTATTTATTTGAGAGAGAGCTAGCATGAGCTAAGTGAGGGGCAGAGGGAGAAGCAGACTCCCCACTGAGCAGGGAGCCTTAGGCAGGTTTCAGTCCCAGGACTCTGGGATCATGCCCTGAGTGGAAGGCAGACACTTAACTGACGGAGCCACCCAGGCACGCCAGATTACTTGACTTGCCTGTGCCCAGCTTCTTCATCCATAATACTAGTACCTAATAATACTAGTACTTATAATTCTAGTACCTAACTCTTAGGGTTTCTTGAAAGGGTCAAAGGAGCTAATATGTGTGGTACCAAGTGTTTATATAGCAGATGTTGATATTAGATATTATCAATTATTTTTCAAAGAAAAATCAAATGACACTGTGTTCTCCTGTAGGCTAAAGTATTTTTGACTCTGCTGTGGCCCAGTAACAGCAGTAATAATAGCTCCTATTTTTTGACTAACTTCTCTGTGTCAGATGGTGGTGAAACTCTGGGGACTTAGTCTCTAAACCTTAGCAAGATACACCTTTACAGACGTGGGTTTGAATATAAACTTCAAATTTGAATTGCAGTTTTGAGATCATATTGTTAACTGATTTCAGAAGATTTTTTTGTTAGATGTCAGAAAGTATAGCGATATGTTTATGAATACCTCATTATTACATTCAACAAATAGAATGAATTGAAACCCAAATTCTAAAAACACACAAAATAGGTTTCTTTTCACGGGATCTAAACTGCCTCTGGAATGACTGAGGTACACATGTCTTCCTCCCGTCCAGGCACTGGTTCAGTGTAACAGCAATTATGTGCAGGGAATATACAAATTAACACAACTAGCGTGGTCTTCAGATAAAAGCAAAACTATAGAATTTTTTAAAGTCAAGGACTGAGATCTTTTGAAAGTTATTACTTGCATCTGATATTAAAGGTTGAATAAAGGAGAGTAGTTAATGTTTGAATTGTTTTTGGCTGGACTGTACCATATTGACTTAGGGCCATGGGACACTGTAGGTAACATCCAGATGGGTCCATAAACTCTTTTTTTTTTTTTTTAAGATTTTATTTATTCATTCATGAGAGACACGCAGAGAGAGAGAAGCAGGTCCACACAGGGAGCCCGATGTGGGACTTGATCCTGGGTCTCCAGGATCACACCCTGGGCTGAAGGCATGGGCTCAACCGCTGAGCTACCCAGGGATCCCGGTCCATAAACTCTTTTTTTTTTTTTAATTTTTTTTTCAATTTATTTATTTATGATAGTCACAGAGAGAGAGAGAGAGAGAGAGAGAGGCAGAGACACAGGCAGAGGGAGAAGCAGGCTCCATGCACCAGGAGCCCGATATGGGATTCGATCCCGGGTCTCCAGGATCGCGCCCTGGGCCAAAGGCAGGCGCCAAACCGCTGCGCCACCCAGGGATCCCCGGTCCATAAACTCTTAACCAACTTTTAGTGGTGTCACAATATCCTTCTCAACTGTTTGGTTTTTAAATGTTTATGTATCCTACTACTACTGCTTAGTGTACTTTCTTTGCTACATTATCTCCCTTGGCAGCCTCTACTCCTTATGGCTTCAATTTCAGCTGCTTTTACAAGCTCACTTTTGAACTTGAGATTCATGTTTGTATGTAGACCACTGCCTATGTTTAAGAGTAAGCATAGACTTAAAGCTTATTAGTCTCTGCTTAATTAGATTTAAGACCCAAAATGAATCCCTCATTCTTTATGCACCCCTGTCCTTGTAACACCAAATCTATCAGCTCTCCCAGCATTCCCTGGTTCAGTTCTGATGACATTACCATCTACTCTGGCCAGCTGAAATTTCACAGCCATCCTAGACTTCTTCCTTGTTCACATTCCAGTATTTAATTGGTCATCAAGCCCTGTGGGTTTTTTACCTGCTAAATCTCTGATGAATATGTGTGTGTGTTCTTAGAGCTCCTGGGCTAGTCTACCACAGGATCAACCAATTTAGTCTTTCTGCTTCTCATCAGTACTCATATTCCTAATGGAGTGGTTTCTCTGAAATATGGGTCTGATTAGAACCTCTTTCCTGCTCAGAAACCTTTAGTATCTCCCCATCGTGTATGAGGGAAAGTCATATTCCCTATCAGGGCAGCAGAGCTCTTCACAGCCTGACACCAATTTCCTTTTACCAGGTTTATCCTGGCACATTCTCTCCCCCCGACCCCCATTTCATCCCTATCTCACTATTTGGCACCCACCAGTGACACTCAATGAGTAATGAATGTACCATGACTTTTTCCATTCCTTGGCAAGTTCTTTCTTTCTTTCTTTTTAGATTTATTTATTTATTTATTGGGGGTGGGAAGCAGAGGGAGAGATTCTTCAAGCAGACTCCCCACTGAGGCTCAATCCCATGACCCATGAGATCATGACCTGAGACTAAACCAAGAATTTGACTTTTAACAGACTGAGCCCCCCAGGCACCTGCAAGTTGTTATTTCTATTTGAAATGGCCATCCCTACCCAACCTTTTCTTTCTGATAATGGCCTTTAAAGCTTGAATCAGATGTTGTCACTATGGAGCCTTCTACTATAAACTGGGGTAGTTTTGTTGCCTTTTCTGATTATATAGAATTTGTGTATATACTTTTATTATAGCACTTGTATTGATGTAATTGTTTCTATAATTGCCTTTCAGATGGATTTAGAAAAGATACATCTTTTCCATCTTTGTATGCTCATTATCTAGCGTAGTACTTAATACTTAATTGTTATTTTAATGAATTAACATATGATGAAGGGTATGTGTCCATATCTGACATTTGACATTAGTTAATTAAAATTTTCCATGACAAAGGGAGGGGAAAGAAATGCTTACAACTCCTATCACAAACAAGGAGCTAAATACTCTTAATAGATAAAGAACTTCTAGAAATTGATAACGAACTTCTAGAATTTGATTTTTTTTTTTTAAGATTGTATTTATTTGAGAGAGAAGGTGAGCATAGAGCAAGAGTGAGAGGGAGAAGCAGACTTCCAGCTAAGCAGAGAACTTAACCTGCCTGGGATTTGATCTGAGGACCTGAGATCATGATCCAAGCCAAAAGCAGACATTTAACCAATTAGACCACCCAGGCTCCCCTAGAATTTGATTTTAAGAAACTGAAAACCCAGCACCTGGGTGGCTCAGTCTGTTTAGCAGCTGCCTTCGGCTCAGGTCAGGATCCTGGGGTCCTAAGATCAAGCCCTGCATCGGGCTCCCTGCTTCTCCCTTAACCATTGCATGTGTGTACACTGTCTCTCTTAAATAAGTAAAATCTTAAAAAAAAAAATGGGCAAGGGATAAACACATAATTTCACAGAAAATAAATATTCTAAATATGTGAAATGATGCTCAACCTCACTCATAGTAAGAAAAAGATAAATATATACTGAGATATCATTTCTTTGCTATCAGATTAACAAATATCCTACAGTTTGATGATATTCTCTGTTGGTAAGTTTGTAGGGAAATAGACATAATCCTGCAGTCCTCTGGGCTTGCAAAGGAGTGCAGCTCCTATGCAGAGCAACCTATCAATAATCTACCAAAGTTATCAATGCAGTTCATCTTCATCCTAGCTCTTCTGCTTGTAGAAATTTATGCAAAATTGGGTTAATCATTGTTGCATTGCTTTAAATAGCATAAAGTGAAAAGCTATCCAAATCCTTTACATCAGTTAAATAAACAACACAAAGGAACATAGGTCCACAGTCCCTTAGCTGTAGTTTCAGAGTCTGAAAAGGCCTGAAAAACCAGAAGGTCTTGTTTTGTTTTGTTTTTTTAAAGATTGGCACTCAAATTCATTTAATGGCACAGGCTTTCTCCGACTGAGGTGCTCACTGTGTGTTGGTACACCTGTCAGGTACTCCTACCTCTGCTCTTTGCTGAGACTATTATTGTCACTTTGGGTTTAATTGCATGTAGAAATATTTTTAAAAATAGTTATAGATAGCCCATATGAATGACAGGATGAAGGGAAGCATCCGTCCCTAGTAATCGCATGGAGTTCTTGTAGGAGCTTGCATGTGGTGGTGTCTGTGAGCCCTCTGCTGAAGAAGACAGTGTAGGAATTACTACTACATGTGACTTACAGACAGGGAAACAGATTACTGAAGTTCTACGCTGGTGGCGAGGACCAAGGACTAGTGAAAAACAAAAAGCCACAGCCCAGGCCGGGAAATGAAGATCCTAACCATGTTTTGATTAAGTGGGTTTGACAACAGGAACGTACATAAATGCCACTGGTTGCCTTGTTGGTTGTGAAACACGCTAGGATATATCATGAAGAACTCCTGCTGAAGACAGATGTTAGTATTAAGAAGGGAGAATTTGGAAATTTAGGAAACAGTGTAGTGAAAAATGTCTGAAAGTATGGTGAAAATGACTCTGCTGATCATGAAATCGCTAAACATAACACCGATGAATTAGCCAAGATAAAACCTGATGACAGCCTGAATGCAGAATAAATTCGCAGTGGTGGCGGATTACTGGGGCAGCATGTTGCTCTGCATGGGAGCTGCGCCACTTTGCAAGCCCAGAGCAGTGTAGGATCGTGCCTCTTCCCCTACAACCTTACCAGCAGAGAAGATCACCAAACTGTAGGATATTCATAACCTGGTAGCAAAGAAATAATATGTCAGTATATATTCCCATCTACAAGTGTTTGAACAAGCCTCACAGAGCGGGCAAAATCTGTGGGCTGGTTCACTACCACGTAAGGGCGATCCAAGCTCGAGGCAGGCCCGACTGAAGACAGTTGACAATTTTAAATTGTTCCCAGACAGCCCTTGTGTGCATTCTCCTCCTCAAACTTTTAGTCACAGGTTTGCAGTTGCCAGCCCCTGACCTAGAGTATTGATTAGCAGCAAGAGGAATAAGCGTATTCTAGTTCTTAATCCCAAGAATCTGTCTCCTTTTGTTCTGTCGATGGGAGTGGCCTTTCCTTCTGTCACAAGAACAGATGGTCCCTGAGGTGGCAGCATAAATACCATCTAGCAAATTTATCTTAAGTCTCAGCACTGAAAGAAAACTCTGAAATCAGAGTCCTTTTAAAGGGGAGAAGTCCCACTGAACCTTGTAGCTGAAGGAGGAAACATCTGAATGCCCCGCATTCCGCATCTTTACTACTTGCCACGCTGCCTGAGGAGACTTTGGAAAAGAACACCAAGGTGGCACTAGATCTAAACTGATGCCCCTTGCCAGCTAGGTGTTAGAGAAGAACCTGTTCTGGGCCTAGTGTCTCTGAGCTCTGATGTCTCCGGGTATAATATGAAGAGATTGGATTAGAGATGATATTTAAGATCACTTCTGGCTCTAAAGATGGCATTTCAGGGATTCTGGTAGCCACAGACTTGTGTTGTAAATGCTTACGAAAGCAGAAACTTCATGTATGGTTTTCCAAAAATTCTTTGAGAACTATCAGCATGGGTAAGTAATTGTTGCATGTGTTTATCCTTTAGGGGCTAAGATGGATCTTGTACTCAGTGCTGCAGATTATTATTTTTTTACACCGTACATCTATCCAGCTTCATGGTCTGAGGATGACATCTTCCGACAAACTATTAGTCTCCTGATTGTGACAAATCTTGGTGCTTATATCCTTTATTTCTTCTTTGCAACGCTGAGCTATTACTTTGTCTATGATCATTCGTTGATGAAGCATCCACAATTTTTAAAGGTAAGTGATTTTCTTACCTACTTCTTGCTGTTACAGTAAAAATAATAAGTATTTGTGTGTGAGATTTTCAGATTAAACTGGTTATAACCATTAAGTAAAATTTTTGCAACCAGCCTCAGATGGGTTAGATATTTTTGGTAGGGCTGATCCTCCTCTCCTCTCTTAATTTAAACAAATAAATGAATCCAACTTTGTTGTTGTCGTTTTAATTACAAGCCTGGTGTCTTCCTGGATACATAGACAAGAATTTGCTAATAGAGATGCATAAAGGTATTCATTTGTGCAATTGTCTTAATGTTTGGCTTTCACAAACTGAAATATGTTTTTACTATATATCTATTTTCTGACTAGATAGGGGATTGTAGATTTGTTTACAATCATCTTTTTATTCCAGTTATTTGTATTTATCAGTGACTACAAGGACTGAAAAAAAGAAAAAGAATCAAGAGAGGGTTGAGGATAGAAGTTATTTGTGAAAGACATGCTTATTCCACAAAGAGAAATCTAGCATGCAGATATTATGGGAAGGAAAGAAAGTTTCAGAATTTAAAGTATTTATTGCATTTGGTCTTCACAAAGGAATGTTCCATGCGTGTTCCCATATATTAACATTTTCACAGAAGCAGTTTGGCAGCAAGCTCCTTCATATAAAAGAGATTGTAAAAATCCAATCCAAGACAATTTTACACTGGTTTTTGTTTAACAGAGATTTTTGTGATTTTTAAGTATTGATTTCACTTTCAGAATCAAGTCTATAGAGAAATTATGTTTACTGTCCAGTCATTGCCGTGGATTAGTATTCCCACCGTGTTACTATTCCTGCTGGAGTTGAGAGGTTACAGCAAATTATATGATGACATAGGAGAGTTTCCCAGTGGTAAGTTAAGCACAGAGTAGTTTCTCTAAAGAACCAAATATGCCTCTTTTTTTCTTCTTTTAAAATAATTACAAGTTGTTTAATTGTTTAAATGTTCTGTTTTTATATACTCATGTCTTTGCCACATAGTACGTTTCCTCGTCTATCAATTTTGAAGTCTTGGTTGTAGATGGAATATTGCCCAGGGGAAGCTGGGTGTGATCAGAGTAAGAGACCTTTGCTTTCATTCACTATTCTTTGTGTTAAAGTCAGACTCAAAAAAAAAAAAACAAGTAATCCATGATAATTAGAGAAAATCAAGAGACAGATTTGTTAGATCCACTATCCTGCTACCTACAACCCATCTCTTTTGACATCTATCCTTCCTTTTTTCAGTGCCTGAAAGCTTCATATAACCCTACTATGCATACTGGTTTGGACTTTGATTTTTTTTTTCGTCGTAGTGTATATGCCGGTATTTTCATGTCAGTAAATCTGGACATATTATATATTAGTTACAGTATCACAATGTGTAGATATCCATAGTTTATTTAAATGATCCCAGTTTTTTAGATCTTTAGATTATTCCTTTTTTTTCTATTATAGATAGTCCTGCAGTGCCTTAACTAAATTTTTGTGAAATTTTGAAATTATTTAATAAAGGTACAGTTCTAGTATATCTAGTATTAGAATGTAAGAATAGTAGTTAACATCATTTATTGAATGTTGATATGTACCAGCTATAGTGCTAAGGTTTTCACATGTATCGATCCATCCTATTCTACATCAATTCTGTGACTTAGGTCCTATTATTATGTTCCTTCTATAAGGGAGTAAATTAATATACAGTAACTTGCCTAGGTCATTCAGCAAATAAGTGGTGGATCTGGGACTGGAACCCAGGCTTGCTGGCACCAGCACACCTGTTGTCCAAGTAAGAGGTTAGATATTTAAAGGAAGGAACAAAAATTATACAGTATGGTGATGAATTGGCTAGGCCTTGAAAAGTAGATAGGTTTGTGAGTAAAAGTAAAAAGAGAGAGTATTCTAGATACATTGAAGAGAACAAGTAAAGGTACAAGAGGTAAGACTTCTAAGATGTTGGGAGGACATTGAGTAAACCAGCCTGGTTAATACAAGAACAGATGAGGCTGAAAAGATCAGAAAAGACTGGGTTAGGGAATAAATGCTGGGCTTGAGGTATTTAGTGGGAAAAAAAAATTCTAAGCAGGAAGATAGTATGTAAAAATATGTTTTACGAAGATTAATATGGAGGAAAAATAAACGCTGTTATTTATGCTCAGAGATTTAAATAATAAAGATGCCCTAAGTGTATGCTTTTTCTGTCTCATAAGTGCCTTCATAGTTTAACTTCAAGTTTTTATGAGAGGGAAATGAGGAAAAAAGCAGATACCAGAGAGTTAGAGGAGATTAATTTATAATGTATTGTATTAGCCAAAATAGTCTATAGTGCTTGAGTCTAGGATCATATTTTGTGCACATAGATGGACGAGCACCAAGTAAACTCTGGTCCTGGAAGCCGGATCTTGATTCTGATATATCCTGTTATCTTTTCTAGGCTGGTTTCGCCTCATTATTAGTATACTGTCCTTCCTCTTTTTCACGGACATGCTGATCTACTGGATTCACAGAGGCCTTCATCATAGACTTGTGTATAAGGTAGAGTCATTTTTAGGGAAAAGAGAAAAATACATACATCTCAGCAGTGTGTGTCTATAAACTCTGTTTTGTTTTTTTTTGTTTTTTAAGATTTCATTTATTTGAGAGAGCGAGCACAGGTGGGGGAGGGGCAAAGGGAGAAGTAGACTCCCTGCTGAGGAGGGAGCCTGATACTGGACTCGATCTCAGGACCTCAGCATGACCTGAGGCAAAGGCGGATGCTTAACCAACTGAGCCACCCAGGTGCCCCCAAATTCTGTTTTCTATTTCTAAGAGTTTCCCCTCACTTGTTAAATACCTAAGTAGCCATAGTTATGATAGATACCAGGTGCATTTTGTTTGTGTTCTTTATGGGTCTGGAGGGGCTGTGTTGAAATGTTACTGTTTTAGGTAAAGAGGTACATTTTATAAAGTGATTTTGCTGAATTTAAAGAGTTTTTTTTAGTTAGGTCATTTCTACGACATGAGCATGAAAAGCTAAGTTGAAAAGTAAAGGTGGTTCTTAACTGTGTTCTTTTCTTCTGTAGCGCATACACAAACCTCATCATCTCTGGAAGATTCCTACTCCATTTGCAAGTCATGCTTTTCACCCTGTGGATGGCTTCCTTCAGAGTCTACCTTACCATATATACCCTTTTATCTTCCCATTACACAAAGTGGTTTACTTAAGTTTATACATCTTGGTTAATATCTGGACAATTTCCATTCATGATGGTGATTTCCGTGTTCCCCAAATCTTAAGGCCATTTATTAATGGCTCAGCCCATCATACAGACCACCACATGTTCTTCGACTATAACTATGGACAGTATTTCACGTTGTGGGATAGAATTGGAGGCTCGTTCAAAAATCCTTCCTCCTTTGAAGGGAAGGGACCACTTAGTTATGTGAAGAAGATGACAGAAGAAAAGTGCAACACCCATACAAAAAATGGTTGTAAAAATGAAAAATTATTCAGTGGAGAGCTTACAAAGACTGAGTAGATTATTGCCCTATTATTAAATATTATAAAGTCTTTTTAATAAGGAAAAATAATCTATATACATACTACCAAGAGACATGGCAAGTAAGTGGTATTTGAAAGTCCACATTGTGGGTACTGCTGAGGAATGATCATGATGGTAGGTCAAGAGAGAATGCTGTGAACACCTGAAATTTTAACCTCATGCTTACAATACTAGGTGTTGGTCTCAAGGACAAGTTGTGTGTCTCTAGCCAGCATATCTGTAATTTGTATAGCCTCAACAATAGTTTTTATAAGGATAAAGAATAAACTATTGAGGGGACTAGGTTATGTCCTTTTGCCTTAATCCACCCATATTCATTAAGGAAAATACATTGTGCTTGATAATACCAAGACTAAGCATCATAACAAAGAACTACTAGTATAAACATGATTCCTTGTTTCAGGAATGGTTGTCTTCGATGTTGGTATAATGACTACCTATAGTATTTTGTACAAGTGGATACATCAGTGTGGAAAAAAAAAATTCTGATAGAACATATTAGCGGCTAAGTTAAATGACCTAATTAATAGCAGGTTTAATAAGATTATCATCTTAAAGCTTATTCTCTGGGGAAGCTTATTCTCTGGGGACATTGTCAAATATTACATTTTACTGATGAAAAAATAAATTAGAACTTTAAAAAATTACTCATGCTACCATGAGATTTAATCCAGATCTGGGATTATTGAAAGACTTTGATGGTTATTGTTTTAAACCATTATTTAATAAGTATAAAATTATGTGAGCCTGAATATATTTAGAAAGGGAAATTTGATGCCTAAATAATATATTTGACAATACTGCTTTTTTAATTAAATGGCTGCACTGCACTTTTGATATGTTTCAAAGTTACAATCCTCTAATTTCCTATAAAAGGAAGTAATTGCCAAATATTTAGGCCTATCACTGAAGATTAGTTTTGAAATCTTATTTTCCCTCTTCTCCCTTCACTTTTCCCCACTTTCTGTGTAAAAAGATTTAACAAATAGTTTCATAAAGAAATGCGTGTTGTAACGTAAATATATTGGAAAAAATGGTTTGGAAAGGCATTCTATAAGCTATTTATGTAAAATCAATAAAAGTTGATTACTGTTATTAAACTGTATCAGTTAAATATTGTAGCAGCACAAAGTATTCTCTGTACAAATTTTGTGTCAATTTGAAACCACAGAAATTATGTGGATTGTCAGAACTTTTAAATGTCCCAAATGCTCATTGTCAAGGGAAGAAAGGGGATATCACATTCTTTTTATATTTCATATCTTTATTAGATTTGAGTGTTTTAGCAAGAGACCAGCCATAGAATTTAATGCTTGGCACCCAGAAGAAATTTTTTTTTTCTGAGTTACTATTACACTGTTGTGCTACTTAAACATTCTAGTGTACCAGTTGGTGGTGTTTTGTAGCTGACAGTCCCAGCCAGTGATTGTCATTAGCCTTCCCACCCCTGCAAAAAGAAGGAAATTAAGAGGCAAACTTTGTTTCCTGTGATAATGACAGCTAATATTCAAGTTTTCTATTGTTTCAGTTTTGGTAGTGTATATGTTTCTAAGAATTTATCCATTTCTTCCAGGTCGTCCATGTATCATTTTTCAGAACGTTCTCTTATTTGTATTTCTGTAGTGTTGGTTACTTCTCTCTTATTTGTGATTTTCTTTTGGGGGATCCTTTCTCCTTTTGGATGAGTCTGGCTAGAGATTTATCAATTCTATGAACTTTTTTCAAAGAACCAGCTCCTGGGTTCATCGATCTGTTCTATGGTTTCTTTTAGTTTCTAGATCATTTGTTTCTGCTCTAATCTTTATTATTTCCTTCCTTCTGTTGGTTCAGGCTTCATTTGTTCTTTTTCTAGCTTCTTTAGGTGTAAGTTTAGGTTGTTTGAGAATTTTCTTGCTTCTTGAGGTAGGCCTGTATTGCTATGCACTTCCCTCTTAGGACCACTTTTGCTGCATTGCAGAGGTTTTGGGCTGTTGTGACTGACAGCTAATATTTATTGAGCTTTTTACTCTTGATCAGGCACTATTACAAGCCCTTGACATGAGGAAACTGGGATGTAGTTGCATGACTTTTCTGAGGTTATTTCTCTCTCACAAAGCCCAGTTTGGATGTTTCTGGTCAGTGGACAGCTTTCCATGATCATTCTGAGACTAGACTCCTTCCGTCTTGGGGCTACCTGTCTCCAGTCTAGAGTCTTTGTTGAAGGAGCCCACACCAGGAGAGGGAAGAGAAAACGTGGACCATTTTTGTGGGTCAGGTTGAAAGCCCTTCATATCCCTTACCCATGTTCCTTTGGCCAAAACTTTGTCGAATGGCCCATGTCACTGAAAGAGATTCTGGGAAATGTGTCTTAATTGTGCCTGGGAGGATGGGAAATGGGAAAACCACTTTCTGGAACAGCTAGCCAATTTGCCATGCTCACATATTCTTCTCCTTTTGGGGGGTCCCAGTAAAAGCATTGAAGAGACAAACGAGCCCCCAGAGCATTTCAAGTTGTCCATCCGCTGGATGATGTCTTGATGCTCTTAATTCCATTACTCCGAGCATGAGTGTTATTTTCCTCTAGATTCTTAGTACTGTGTAATGAACAGAAAAAAAAAGACATAATGTATAGGGAGAGGAAAGCTTCCTAAAAAATGTTAGTAACCATCAAACTAGCCCCTGCCCTCCCACCTTTTTTCTTAAATTCTAGTCTCATTGGGCAGTATTATGTTTAGTCCTGCAGTGTTTTCAATACCATGACTGCACTGTCCCAGTCTCCATTAGAGGAATTCAGACAGTATTCATGGAAGTGAGGCTCTCAGTTCCTTTCCACAGGAACATCAAGTGCATGGCTTTTCCCCTTGACTTGGGAAACTTCTTTAGTTCAAAAACAGAAAGGGAAAGTCAAGATTACATTTTCTACTTTTATGGTAGAAATTAGGAAATGGATGGAGGTGGTACAAGAACACATTTCAAAAACCTGGAGACTTTTTATTAGGTACCATCCTGTTCTTTGCTGTTTCTCTGTCTCCCTGTGTCTACATGGCGGTGAACTTCCTACTTCTCATTGTCCTGCCCCACATTTCTTTATCTTCCCATCTTCAAGAAGTCAGGGACAGATTTGGTAGAGAATTATGAGCGCAGGCTTTGATACACGGAGTCTACAGTGCTGGCGCATTAAATAGAGATGATGTCTGGGAGGAAAAGGGGACGTAGAGAGACAAATCACAACAAAGACGTGGGATTAACCCAGAGAGAAGAAAAGTTTGAGGCCATGAGATTGCTGAGGAGAGCGTGAAAAAAAAAGATACCCAAAGAAATAAGCCAACTTAAAGGGTAAAGAAATTTCTTTCCTTGTCTTCCCAACTTCTTCAGAGTCAGGAACCTTGACTGGCAGTCTTAGATCAGCAGTTACTGTTTTCTTTTCCTCTAACATTAAGTGCACCCTATTTATTCTAGACCCCAGATTCCTTCAAAGTAGTGACTGTGTGTGAATTGCCATTGTATTGAACTATGTGTCCTTAAAAGACCTGGCTGAGGATTGTTAAATACTTTGCTGAATGAATTAATGGAAGTGTCATTCTCTTCAGTAAACATTGAATGAACCCCTACTGGGTGCCACACACTTGGCACAAGGGGCTGCAAATATTTATTCTGCAGATACTTCACACTGTCTTTTTAACCAAGAATTCACTTCTTATTCATTCGCTCACATTTTCAGTGCATGGGAGGAGTCAGAGGGAAAGTAAAGAGGAAGCAGATGGGTCCTAACCAAGGATGGACTATCCTTTTTTTTTTTTTTTCCCCTCAAAGTCAAGCCTCCACTGGAAACAAAACCCACCAGTACCCTGGATTCTGACCCTGTAGGAATCAGTGGTACAAGTACCGATCAGAGGGTTGAATGAAAATGAATCACAACTACTTAATGGTGCTCTGGATACAGAAAGAAGAAAAAAAAATCTTCAAAAATTATTGGTTGATTACACCAAGAAATAACAAACCTGGGAGGACAATCTATAGCTTCAGCTGGAGTGGAATTCATCTCAGAGGAGTTACCCTAACCGCTTTGGAGTTCACCAGTTTTGAGTCCTGGCTCTGCCACTTGCAGATTGCATGACCTTGGTTTCTCTGTCTGTAAATTGATGAAAATCCTGCCTACCTAATAAGATTAAATAGGTTAGAAACACTCAATTAAATGTCAGCAGAGGCTATTATTCATGTAAATTGTGCTTAATGCCTCAGCTTTCGAGGTTCAGTGATTATTGTCATTACACCTAGGATAGGCCCTCGGTGGAAATCAATTGCAGGGAGAAAAAAAGGCCCCTGGGTACTTTCATCTTCACATTGTGAAGGGTGAGAGATGAGGGGCAAACTGAAATAGGGGGCACAGAGGAGAATCGTAAGTAAAGCCAAAATTGACACATTATCTCCTGTAAATTTTCTTCATAAAGAATTGTAAGATAGCTAAGTTATGTATTGCCAAATAATTTTATTGTAAAATGCATTGCAGTAAACTGTAAGGTCTGTTTACAGGGTTTTGAGGTAAAGTAGAAGAAAACTTAACTTCCCTGGAAATTAAATTTCTTAAGAAAGGCAAGAAGGAAGTGTGTGAACTATACCGTCGAGCTTTACTGTCAAAGCAGAGTTTTGGTATAGAAAGGACAATGCTTATAAATACTTAATCTAAGATACTGCGTTAGAATACATTTTCACGGTGTTTCTTAAATCTAGGCTCGACTTGATCTTATTGAAATGTAAATATAGTAAAATTTGTACAAAAGTAAGAGAAATTACGTTCTCAGTTCTTTGATCAACAATCAGAAGTGTGACTGATTAAATGCTCCTAAACACTTGACACTGTTTACATACTTGACTAATCCCATTTTCTTAAACATTTGATAAGTCTAACACGCTTGACTCCTCCCCTCCCAAAAGGCACACTTGTGTACTCAGCACATTTTTCTGAGCTCCTTGGCAACTCAGGATTCAAATACATTTAAGCATACTTAACCCCAAAATAGCATAATGATATCCCAAGTTCATCGCTCACCTTTAAAATATCTGTACTCTAGACTTTCATTCACTTCTTGTATCAAGAAGCGATACAATCTCTTGTTACCTCTTGATTTTAAAATTATCATTTTTACACACTAAGCCTCTTCCTCCGATGGACACTTGGCCTCCTGACGTATGCTACCCAACAGAAGCAAACAGGAGCCTGGAGACTTAGTGTACATTCCAATATTTGAGAGCAATTGCTGTGGTGACTTCTGTCCACCCCTTCATTAGGATTTTTTTTCTTTTTAATCTGCATAATGGAGGTACAGTCTGCATACAGTAAAATGTACTCGTTTTCACTGCATGGTTCAGTGAGCTGCTACAGATGTGAGCACTATGTAAGCAGCACCCCAAGGAAGATACAGAACGTTTTTCTTCATCACAAAAAGTTTTTTTTTTTTTTTTTTCAATCACAAAAAGTTCTATCTTTGCGATCTCTCCCCAGCCCTCGGTTACCACTGACCTACTTTCTGTTTCTGGAGCTCAATTTTGTCCGTTGTAGAACTTCTTATAAATTGAACCAGATAGTGTGTACTCGTGTGTAGGTTTTTTTTTTTTTTAGCTCACATGTTTTGAAATTCCTGCTATTGCATATGTCTGTACTTTGTTCCTGTTTGTGTGTGTTTGCTGTTACACTGGCGTGTATCACGATTCCTTTATCCAGGCACCTGCTGATGGATATTTGGGTTATGTCTAGGTGAGGTTATTATGAATAAAGCTGCCACAAACAAGTGGACAAGTCTGTGTCTAGATCTATGTCTCCCATTCTTTCTGGAAAATATCTGTTAGTAGAATTGCTCGGTCCCAGGGGCGATGTAGGCTTGATTTTACAAGAAACCGTCAACCTCTTCAAAGTCGTACCATGTTACATTCCCACTACGAATTGGGAGAATTCTTTCCCTCCGCATCCTCACCAACACTCGGTATCCTCAGTCTTTGTAGCCATTCCAGTCCGTGTGGAGGAGTGTCTCTCCTTGTACTTAATTAGCGTTTTCCTATGACTAATGATGGTAGAGAGCTTTTCTCATGCTCTGTGGTTCTTATTTCTTTTGTGAAGTATCTGTTCAAGTTGTTTGGCCACGTTTTTAGATCGGGTTGCTTTTCTTCCTATTCTTGATTTATAAGAATCTGTTCTATATTGTAAAAGTCCTTTGTCGGATATATGCATTTTTACAAATGTTTATTCCAGCGTGTAACTTGCCTTTTCCTTTGTGGGTTTTTTTTTTTTTTTTAGATTTTATTTATTTATTCATGAGTGACACGCACAGGGGGAGAGAGAGGCAGAGACACAGGCAGAGGGAGAAGCAGGCCCCATGCAGGGAGCCCGACGTGGGACTCGATCCTGGGACTCCAGGATTGCACCCTGGATCAAAGGCAGTTGCTAAACCACTGAGCCACCCAGGGATCCCTTCCTTTGTGTTTTTTTAAATGAAAAAACAGGAAAGTTAATTTTGATTAGGACCAATGTGATGTCCAAGATGTATTTACATCTTTCATAAATCCTGCATTTCATGTCCTAGCTAAGAAGTTTTTGCCTATCCCAAAGCAAGGTTGGACTTCTTGTGGGAAGATTTTTGATAATGAATTCAAGTTCTTTTTTTTATGCTTAGGAGTTTTATTTAAAAATTACTTAAATCGACTAAACACATTCCTTAGCTTTATGAAACAACAATGACAAATGCTTATGCTGTGACCAAAGAGAACGATCCCAGTGGAATTAGCCCATTTTTCTTAGTTACAAACACATACAGTCCAGTTGAATTCAAGTTCTTAATAGATATAAGGCTTTTCATATTTTTATTTCTCCATTTGTCAGTTTTGATACACTCTTTTTCAAGAAATTTGTTTCATTTCACTTAAGTTTTCAGATTTGTTGCCATAAAGTTGTTTGCAACATTCACCTATTATGCTTTTAATGCTTATAGGATCCGTCATGATGTTTCCTTTTTAATTCCTGATACTGATAATTCATTTTCTTCTTTTTCTTGCTCATTATAACTGAGATAGTATATATTTAATTGCCCTTTTTTAAAGTACCAGCTTTTGGCTCTGTTGACGTTTTTTCTTTATTGCTTGTCTTCAATTCCGTTAATTTCTGCCTCTTTTTCCTTCTATTTATTTTGGGTCAGTCTCCTGCCCACCCCACTCCCTGGCCCAACTTCTTAAGGTAGAAGCTCAGATCATTGATTTATTCTTTTTTTCCTTTAAAAATATAAATATTTAAAGCCACGAAATTCCCTCTAAGGCCAGCTGTGACTGGATGCCACAAACTTTGATAAGTTGTGTTTTAATTATTATATAGTTCCAAGTATTTTCTGTTTCCAGTGAGATTTTTTCCTCGACCAGCGATATGGTGGGCTTGTATTATATCAGCTTGGCTGAGCCAGAACTGTGTTTCCCAGAATTACCTTCCTACCTAGTTCTAGGTTAGCATGCCTACCCAAGTCATTTTATGTCAGATTTAGAAGGTGGAAATGGAGTAGCAACCATCTTATTTTCTGTGCTGGGAAAGATGAGGCTGTCTATGAAACCCTCTTGCTGCTCAGTCATGTTGTGACGTGTTTACTGGCTCACCTGGTTGGCCTGTGGCAGCATCTGGGCCCAGGGCAGCTGCAACTCCCCTCTGGTACCCTTTAGCTTCTTCTAATTCTGGGTCTGACATGTGTTTAAGCCTCTGATGCCCTCCATGTCAGTGTTGTGAGGGGATGACAGAGGTACCAGTCAACCATCCTGAGTTCCGGCACAGAAACTCCTCGCCACTCCCTCATGCCTACCTCACAGTTCTCTTCTTTCCGACTCCCTCCTCCACACGCTTCAGAACCCAACACCAGACGCAGAATCAGTCACCACATAAAAACTGTGTGACCAGCTTTCACGAGTTACCTGTGGTCAAATCCTTGCTTCCCTAATGGAACACAGACAAAAGATTTGGCTCTGAAAAAAGTGGTTTCAGAAGTCACAATCTTAAGAATCAGATCTCTGTAGACTTTTCAAATCACTACATTGGATACCTGAAACTAATGGAATGTTGTGTGTCAACTCTATGTCAAATTAAAAAAAAAATTTAGGGGATCCCTGGGTGGGTCAGTGGTTTGGTGCCTGCCTTCGGCCCAGGGCAGGATCCTGGAGTCCCGGGATCGAGTCCCACATCAGGCTCCCCGCATGGAGCCTGCTTCTCTCTGCCTGGTTCTCTGCCTCCCTCTTTGTGTCTCTCATGAATAGATAAATAAAATCTTTAAAAAATAATAAAAAATAAAAAAATTTAAAGAATCAGTTCTCTGAATTAGTCCCATGTTAATCTGCAGTTGGTTCTCTGAGTCGATTAGCTTTAAAGTCATTAATGATCCTGTTTGCAGAACTAAAGGGAAATATTGGAAGTTCATGATATGCAGTAGCAAAATGGTTACTTAACCAATCCCTTATAGTTGCCTGTAATCAAGGGCCTATGGAGGGCAAGGCTCTAGAGGAACAAGTATTTGTGGCGTAGAACATTTTAGTAGAAGCTGAGGCTAGGAGTTTGTCAATTGCTTTGAAGTGTGCTGAACAACTTAGGCAAAGATGATGCTGAGTTCATGACTTTAAATTCCCAGTTCAGGGTCCAGTTAAGGAACCTAAATGCTTCTGTGGTTGCCCTAAAATAAACTTTTATCTCCTGTAGTTGTAGGGCAAAATTTCTGAAATCCACATCAAAGTTGAATTGTGCCGATAGCAAGTTTAATTCCCAATCAGTATTACTGAGTTTTTTTATGTTAAAAGACTCTGAAAATGAGATGGGGTATTAAAAGGGTTTTGCACCCCAATTCCAATGTGTGTGCAGGGGGAGGTGAGTGGCGTTCCACGCAATCCTCTGGCCCCAGCTGGGTGTCCTCCATTCCAACTCAATTCTGACACTGTCTACTCAGATTTCACAGGTTAGGGGCTCAGTTCCACAAGACTGCCCTCTACCTCAGGTGCCAATTTCAAGTCCAGGCTGGTACCTAGAGTTCTGACCAACAGGCTATAAATCAGGTTTTACAACCCCCTCCTCAAGTTTGATTAATTTGCTAGAGTGGCTCACAGATGTTAGGAAACCTGTTTACTCACTAGATTACTAGCTTATTACTAAGGATATTAGAGGATACCAATCAACAGCCAAGTGGAGACTTAATAGGTTGAGGTCACAAACAAAGGAATTTCTGTTCTTATGAGTTCAGGCTTTGGAGCTGAAGCAAGCAGAAAGGTTCTGGTTCTCCAATCTATAAGTTCTCCAAACCCGTCCCTTCTGTTCTTTTTATGGAGACTTCATTACGTCAACATGATCCATTAGGTCATTGGCCATTCGTGATTGATTCAAGCCCCAGCTACTCTCCCCTCCCAGGAAATCAAGGAGCGGAGGGAAAGTTCATCCTTCTAATCACATGGTTGGTTCTCCTGGCATTCAGACCCCTTAGATGGGGTCTAAAAGTGCGCTCATTAACGTAACAAAAGACACCTTTAATACTATCCTCACTTAAGAAATTCCAGGAGTTAATAGGAGCTGCTTGTGCCAGAAACAGGAGGAAGACCAAATATGTATTTTTTATCATAAATCACAATATCACAGGTATATAGGCAGATTTGATGCAGCTAGGGACCTTGAGCCCGTAATTCTGCTGAGCCTCCTTTGCCAAAAGAAAACTGTAGTAGGCAAAGTATTGGGACAGCACTATGTAGCAGAAAGATATATGGCATAAAAGTAATACGGGTTCAAACACTGGTTCTGAGCTTATGCTTTTTCTTTTATAATTAAGAGATTAAAGGGCCACCTGGGTGACTGAGCTGGTTGTGTCTGCCTGCAGCTCTGGCCATGATCTCAAGGTGCTGGAATCAAGCCCAGAGCCAGGCTTCCTGCTCAGGGGGGAGTCTGCTTCTGCCTCTGCCTTTGCTTCTCTCCACTCTCTCTCTCTCTCAAATGAATAAATAAAAATATTTATTTAAAAAAAGAGATTAAAGGCAGCCTAGGTGGCTCAGTGGTTTAGCACCTGCCTTCGGCCCGGGGCACGATCTTGGAGACCCCGGGTCAAGTCCCACGTCGGGCTCCCTGCGTGGAGCCTGCTTCTCCCTCTCCCTGTGTCTCTGCCTCTCTCTCTCTCTCTCTCTCTCTCTGTCTGTCTTTCATGAATGGATGAAAAAAATCTTAAAAAATAGATAAAATAAAAAAGATTAAAACACTTCCAGTATAGTAAATAGTTACCATTATTGAATAATATCTTGTGGAATACCTTGTACAGAGCTCTTTACATGCATTATCTTAATCTTTCCCCAAAAGCCCATGGGGCAAATTCTTTCTATACTGTACAGATGAATAAATTTGATGCTAGGAAGGTGATGGTAATCTGTGCTAAATCACAGAGCAAACAAATGGCAAAGTCAGGATTTGAACTCGGGATTTAAACTCAGGTCTGTTTAATTTCAGCCTTTGGTTCTGTCCTAAACTACACAGCTGTAATGTAAAGATGAACTGATACAACATTTGTAAAATGCCGAGATCAAAGTGCCTGATGGCTGGCCCTCAGCAAGTGGCTGTCCTTCTTATCATTCATTTTAAATCTGCTAACCAAAGCCCTTTCCCAGTGCTTTTCCTTTCCTCAGATGATGAGGGTCTTACAACTTTCAGCTCTCACTACTATCGGTCTCTTTTTCCAGGTTAAAGCCTCTATGATTAATTCACTGGCAGGGGTGAATGACTAACATCATAACCCTTCTTCTAGATGGAATCACAAAATGTTAGGCCGATG